ATTTGCATGCTGATGTGCAAAGTAGTTACAAGAAAACCTTTTAAGATCCACTGAAGCAAAAAATCTAACCCCTGCCTCACCCACAAAGGTAGAAAATGAGTTCATTTTAAATAAAAATGTCATGGTTATCACCTAGCTAAGTTCCATAACAACAAAGCTTTATTTATTTCACTGCCATGTTCCCAGCACTAAAAATAGTGCCTGGCACATAGTAGGTGCTCAGTAAATACTGATGAATGAATGATCCATAATGATCCTGAAAGGTAGCAGAGAAAAGAACAAATGTCCAAGAATTTATTGAGCCAAGAACTGTCTTTAATAAGCCTATTGTGGTTGCTGTCATTTAAATATGAAATCAGTCAAGTACGTAGATGAAGAACGACTATATATATATATATATATATACACTATATATATATATTTGGAATGAAGATAAGATTTCATTTAGAGTTCACTGAGCTTTCCAATGTGAAAGGGAAAGTGTGTCCATGCGTGCGTGAATTTGATGTATTGAAGATGGTGGGGTGGAGGGAAAATGTTTACTTACAAAACATTTCTCATTTCACATGGAGTAATTCAGTGAAAGACAGTATCAACTAAAATGTCACCTGATCCCAGAGTGGGTACTCTTAGTCCTAGGTTTTTCATTACATATTCTACCCATAAGCCATTCACAAGTCACACATAAAAAAGGAAATAAATGACTTGCAGTAGGATTTTTCCCTGGGATTGAATTTTTTCTTGTTTTAGGTAACTTCTGAAAAGAATATGTCCCCTAATAATAGTGTTTAAGCCCAATCTTTTGTCAGCCTCACACTGATAACATGCAACACAAATACGTGCTAACGGTCTCTAGGTTGGAATCCCCAACCCCCGACCCCAGCCAAAAAAAAAAATCCCACACAACTTATTCCCTGTCTGTATGTTGCAGGTTCACTGTTTTCACAGTGCATCCAAGTGTTCAGAAACCCACACCAGAGTAATAATATTCACAACACTAAATTAATATTAATGACGCTGCTGGCTGCCATGTACTGATTGGCCACGGTATGCCAGACACACATGCATATTACATGTACTGCTGTTTTTACTCTGGACAGCCAATCTGAGAATAATGAGCTATTATTTCCCCCTTTTAGAGAGGAGAAAACTAAGGCTCACAGAGATAAAACAGCACGTCTACGATCAAGCAAGTGATGGAGCCATGGCTCTACCTGCAAAGTCAGAGATCTTACCCCAACTAGGATAGCACTGCCTCTGTGAACTTTTATTCGCCTTACCTTATCACTCTCTGACAAAAGTACAAGCATCGTTTTAAAAAATAATTTCAATACTAATCAAATTTGTACTCAAGTATATGACACCTTTCTTTTCCAAAGAGAGAGAAGCTATATGACAAGTTTCCTTTCCACAGAGTACAAAATATTCCTTGCCCCAAAACATGTTGACTTAATGAGAATCTGACTTGGTTCCAGCTGTGCTGACTCCTGCTCTCCAATTATCACTTCTAAAACGGTCTTGTGCTCGGGTTATAAAAACAAGAAGTAACCTACAACAGCATGCACCTAGCTCATTATATTAGCTCCAACATTCCATATTGAAGCAAGTAAAGAGGTGTCTCATTTGTGGACTCAATGATGACTGTAAGAATCTTTCTGCCCCCTAGGAGTTCAACAGGGAGACCAGCTCCACACAGAGCCTCCTCCCCAAAGCCAAGTCCTTACCTAGGACTTTGGACTTTATAGCATGGTAAATGGGCAAAGCACAGGTTTAAGAGTCAAACAACCTGGGTTCCAGCCTCAGCCCTACCACTTAATCTAACTACGTGAACCTGGGATCTTGAGATCTTTAACCTCTAAGATCCTCAGTTTCCCCATGGCAATGGGAATTATAATATCTATGCTACACAGATACTGAGATGGTTGCCTAGGATAACATATGGGTCGTGCTAGCCCCCTTCCTGGTCCCCAGTAGATAGATAACAGATATAAAGTTTTCCTTCCCCTCCTGAAGGACCTTCTTTTCACTGGTACGCTGGAGCTTGGCTTGCAAGAGTTGACTATTAAATTTTTAGGGATTTTGCAAGCTTGTTATTAAAAACAGCCACTATTGAAAACTAACTTACATAAACTTAAAATTAAATAAATCACATTTTTAAAAAGGTAATAAATATTCAAAGCTCATCACTTCCAAGTTAGTTCACTTTACTGTTACCTGTGCTCTTGAGATTTTTTTTCTTTTTTTTTTTTTTGGTCTAATGCATCTGTCTGATGGAAATATCGCGTAATGGCATTCTCTCTCCCAATGCCATGGGCAGTGATGTCACACTTGTAGCTTGAAATCAGCTATGGCGGGAGTATTTACATGGAAATTAGCAAACACTACAAATCAGGAATTCCTTTCTTGGGAGAGAGCTGATCATTAAACATTTATCAGCACACCACTGGTATTCATATTTCATCTTATCCCCCTCTGCTCCAGCATCTTCCATCTCTCCTCTCTACAGTTTATCTACGAATACACAGACACACACATTCACAAAATAAAAATGAAAAAAAATGAACATCCCTCCAGTGAACAACCTTTCTCCTCATTCCATTACTGCCAAATTTACTGAGAATGTTCTACGTATGCTTACTTCTGACAACTTTCTTATCACCCGTCCATTATTTTATTCATCTCACAAATATTTTAAGCAACTCCTATTATCCAGACACTGTGGCAGGAACAGGGCCCCGTGCTGCCCTCACGGAGTCCACAGCCACACGGCCATCTAACTTCTGTCCCACCTTGAAATTCTCCAATACTCTCATAACTCCTTTCTTCCCTCCTCTTTTGCCTTCCTTAAAACCATTTATAATTTCCCCAATTGTTTTGTCTTCTTTTCCTCTATGGCCCTTAACAAAAAAAAAAAAGGGGGGGGGGAGAGCTTTTCTCCCTGCTTTAATCATTTATCCCTCTTCCCTTTCTCTCAGGAATTTTATGCATCACTCTGAGTTTACCCTCTCCCAATTCTCAGAAAACCCAATCCCCCCACCCCCAGCTTTTCTGCTCAGTAACTGATGACACCATCCAGCCAACTGGTTAGGCCAGAAACCTGAAAAATCATTGTTTTCTTCCTTTTCCTCATGCATGCACGCATCCCAAACATTAGCAAGTGCTGTTGGAGCTGTCTTGAAAATCTATCCCACATCCACCCCATCTTTTCTTCCCAGTTCCTACCGCTCTCAGTCAACACTCACTCTTTCCTCACTTGGTCTGTATGAAAGCCTCCTAACCCTTTTGGCTTCTTCACCGCTGACAGCCCCCAATATGCTGCGCCACAAAGAAGCCAGGGCCAATATTTTTTAAAAGAAATGTAATCACGTCTGTATACCCTTAAAAAAGAAAACAAAAACAAACAAAAAACTCCAACATCTTCCTATTGCACTCACAATGAGACCCACACTTGCTTTCCTGGCCCACACGGCCCTTCATTATCTGGGACCCGACTGCCCCCTTCCCTCATCCCCCTCACCTGCTGGGCACCTTCCCCAAGCCTGGAACCCTGAGCCAGATTCTCCTAGGGCTGGCTCCTCCCCTCTTTCAGAAAGATTCCAGAGCCTTCCCTGACCAACCAGCCTGACTTCCCCCAGACTGACTCATCACTCCCATCACCTAGCACCCACACTGTGCAGTCACTGCTGATTATTTATTGTCTACCTTCCTCTACCAGAAGAACAGCCACACAGGAACAGGGCACCGGTCTTCCTTATTTACCAGGATACTCCTGGTTTCTAGAACATGCCTGGCACATGAAGGCCCTCAAAAGATACTGACTGATGAATGAAAGAATGAATGGGGCAACATCCAAAAACAAAAACAGGCAAAGCCGAGAATAATTGGAAACAGAGACCCGGAAATGAGGGAGTTTTAAGGGACTATGGTAGAAGAATAAGAACAGCAATCTGAAGTGGTAAAGTGCTAATACTATGAATGGAATTTCCACGCGTCAGAATAATTGGGAGGCCATCAAGCTGAGGTTGCTCTAGCACCCTGGGTTTCTACAGAAGCAGCTGGAAACCCACCTCAGTGTAAATGGGAAAATGAAACTTAAGCTTAACCAATCAGAAACCACTAACCCACCTCTAACCAGGAACTTTCCAATGGAATGATCCAAGTAAGACTACTGCTTCACTTTAGCCAATCAAATTGCTCTGCCTCTGTATTCGCCCTATAAGAACCTTCCCCATAATCCCCCTTACACACTTTAACCAATCAAATTGCTCCACTTCTGCATTTCCCCTACAAGAGCCTTCCCCGCAGTCCCCTCCAGCAGAGGCCCAAGCCACCTGTGTCTGGAGCTGCCCAATTCATTAATCACTGTCTGTTCAAAAAAACTATCTAAAATTGTAATGTACCTAAGTTTATCTTCTAACACATATTCATTAAATTCTGACTTGCCCGTGGCATCAGCTATTTTAGAGGCAACCTAATCCCGTGAGCCCTTGTGCTGATAAATCCGTGTTAATTTTTTACGGCTAGGGCAAAAGTAAAAGGAAGAAAGGGACGGAAGGAAGGAAGTCCTAGCTCTAAAGATTTTCCTGAATCTTCAAAAAAAAGTTCAGAGAGGAAGGGTCCCCTGGGTTGGTTTCCTCTCATACTTGTGCTGTAATAATTCTGATCAGACACAAAGGGCAGGGAGAGGTGAGTGGGGTGACAGAGCGACCTGTCTTCTGCCACTAGTGGCTTCCCACATGTGTGCCTCACCACCTCACATCCAAATGGCCAGACAGCAGGGCTTCCACTTGCTTCCTCTAACTAACTACTCCTTTCTTGTCCAATCTAATGTAGGCAAGAAAGGGCAGGAATGGGAGAAAAAGGAAAGAGTTAGGAGGGAAACATTTTGTTGGGGGGGGATGTCCCCACAAAGAGCTGACTCAGGGCTTGACTGCTCCAGGCACCCCTAAATGACACTGGACGTGGAAGACACGCAGGGACCGAGAAACCCAGCCCAGTACCTCATCAGGGACCACACAGCTGGCGGGGACACCGGGAATCCACTGCTCTTGGGCTCTGGTGGCAGTGAGGAGTGGCAGCCACCCCAAGCTCCTTTGTGAGGGAACCGCTGCTGCTTCCCGCTGTCGCGATGAGGGTGCGCCGGCAGAGAGGCGGGCTGGGGGCTCCCGGGCTGCTGTGGGCTGCGCGGATGGACGACCCCGTTGCTCCTGATTGTGCATGGCGTTGAGAGAAAACAAAGTCAAACAGAAGAACAAGGCTTGCAACAAAAAATAGCAGTGCCCTGCGCCCCACCCTCAAATCCCCCTCCCTGCAAACAACCATGCTCAGGTCTTTAGCTCTTTTGTTTTCGATATTTACTGCTGAACTGTAAAAGTAACATAATTGTGCACTTTTTTCAAATTTTGGAACTTGTCATTTTGATTTCTTACTATAGAAAACTAGAACTCAGTCTCTCTTAAGTGGCCACTAACACACACACACACACACACACACACACACACACACCCCTTCACCCTCACCCTCCAATGTATTTCTCTCATAATATTTGGTTGAAATGGTATTCAGGGTTGACATTATTGCGATCTTGTGAAACAGTGTTCACAGTTGAGCCATCCAATGTACTGTGATTACATTTTTCTGCATTGAATCCTCAGATACAATTCACAACCACTAAATGAGCAAAAATTTAAAAAGCCACACTACCAAGTGATGGTAAGAAAGTGAAACAAAGAAGATTCTCATTCATTGCTGCAACCATTTCAGGAGCAATGTCTCAGGATATAACGCGCGCGATCAGCGTGCATCTGTCCTCTGCCCAGCAGCTCTGCTGCTATAGTTATGCCTGAGAGAAACCCTCATGGATTTGCACAAGAACACATGCACAAAACGTTTCACTGCAGCACAGTATACAAGAGCAAAAATGTGGAAGTAACCTAAATTCCAAATCCAGAAGAATGAATAAATTGTAGTAATGAAATACTACACAGCAGTTAAAACGAATGAAATGTAGCTACATCTATCAATATGTGTGTATCTCAGAAGTGCAACGTTAAATGAAAAAAAAAAGATAGTGGCATCATTTATGTAAAGTTTGAAAACATAAAATAATCCTATTTGATATTCACTGGTACATACATATGAAGCAATGCCATAGAAACAATCATAGAAGTGAAAAGTGCCAAATTCAGGATTCTGGTTACCTTTAGAGTGACAGAAGGGAGGGACTGGGGACAGGGAATGTTATTTTCTATATGTTGAAAATCATATCCTAATTTTTAAGAAAAGAAAGAAAAGAAAAAGAAAGTTAACTTTCAGGAGCTAATCTTTCATTAAAAAATCTTTCCTCCTAAAGGTGATATTATATAAAAGAAATCTAGCCCAATCTTAAAACTTAAATTGCTCTTCTTGTAGGAAAATACTTCTAACATTACTGTTTCTTTCCTAGTGCCTGATTCACACCATGAAAGATCTCAAGAACCACCTAATACTAAAATGTTTATTCCATTAGCAGATAAAGTACAAAGTGGGGTACAGGGCAAATCCCTAAGTGTGTAAAACTATGTGTGTTTGTGTGTGCATTATTCTGGGGAAAAAACTTTGTGAAATTCTCAAAGGAGTCTATGACCCCCCACCCCCACCTCCTAAACACTCAGAACCTCCAACCTGGCATAACTGTCTCATGGTGCCTGGGCAGCAGATGTCCTGCAAGGGGTCCCGAGTTCCTGTCCTGTGTTTCCGCCACAGAGGCGGTGGTCCTCAGCGGAAACCCTGCGGCCATGGAGCCATGCAGACATGGGTCCCAATCCTGGCTCCACTTGGGCTGGGCGACTGTGTATACTTTCTGTGCCTCTGTTTTCTCCTCTGTGGAATGAGGATAATGGTTGTTGTGAGCAAATGGATTGGCACAGTGCCTACCATTCGTGCTTAAGAGAGATTTTGGCCAGATCTCCCCGTTCCATGCTCTGGTTCCTTCCTCCCCCTTTTCATAACTATAATCAATTACTCATGTAATTACTTATGCAATGTCTGTCTCCCCCAATATCCTGCATGCTCTTTGGGGGAAGGAAACTTATCTGTCTTGTTCTTGGCCAGGCAGAATGAATATGTGTTGAATGGATAGATAAAAGGATGAAGGAGAGAATGAATGCTTCCACTCGTGTAGCACCGCTGGGTGTGAGAGCTAAAAGCTCCTTAAAAAAAAACTCAAAAAACCAGACTATGAACTGTGGGACTTTTAAGCTATGTATCAGCAGTATCGTTCCTTCCATAGAACTTCTGGCAGTTAAGTATTATGAAGGTTAAGAAAGATCATCAAAGAAAGAAAAGAGACAATTACCCACTTTGAAAAAAGTCTGGCTCCACAGTGATTAGATGGAGAGGAGAGAAAGGAGAACGTAGGCAACAGTGGGCTGGAGAGTCCCAAGACCAGAGGAGACACGACTTCAAGGACAACATGAAATCAGCTCTGGATTGGACCACATGACAGAACACATCTGCAGTCAGTTATCCCATCTTTGTGCCGTCAGTGAGGCATAGGAGAAAGAAGTTAGGAGGTAGAGACAAGGTGGATGCAGGGAGACTGTAGAAAGTAGAAAGGGATTTATAGGTTGTTCTCGAAAAGGTAAGGCACTCAGCAGCCTCTGGCTCATAGTTTTCTTGGCACGAGCTTGAGTCAAAGTGATCGCTGGGCTCCTTCCTTTTATGTGCCTCTGAGACTTACAGAGCAGAGCCAGCAGAGCTCTACACTCTTAAAATCGTCTCCAACTATCACACTCCCAGGCAGGAAGGTGATCAGAACTTCCTGACTCATCTCAGTTTGTTGCCTCTCAAAAGCACTGCTCTTGCCTTCATGTCAAGATGTATAAAGACGTAAGAAGTGGAATAAAAAGGCAGGATTATTTTTAAACATAAACTTTTTCATCTGACAAGGCAGGAGAATATATCAGCCCCATCTTTAAAAAGTTCAGAAGTGAGGGCCTTATAATTACTGAAAATGGGGTCTGCTTGTAAAATTGTTAGTAATTATGGATTCGACGGGGGAAGAAAATTACAGTATGTGCTTGAACTTTTAATATGCCTCAGTGATTCTTTATCATCTATCAGCTACAGACTAAAATGAGTGCTCCTTAAATTTTTTAAAGGAAAAATGGGCCACCCAATAAGCTTGTTCTTTAACTTGAACATGATGTGTACACATTGCTCTACGGGTTAGACTGGCTTTTTGTGGAATTCCACTAGATGCCTCCTAAAACTCTTAGGTAATGACAGCAGGCAGACAGCCTCCAAGTTAGCAGTGCTCTTTGATGGATGACACTCATTCAAATGAAGAGATTCAAAGCAAGCTGCTAAAACCTGTTACCATTTGCAACCACTTCTCTGTGTGAAGCAAGATTTTCTCAACAGCATACAACCAAAACAAGCTAGCAATACAAACTTGCAGTTATCATAAATACTTTTCAATTCTAAATTTGAGGCTCACAAAAACTTCACAGACCTCATTGATTTTTATAAGAATGTGAACAGTTTGAATACATATAATCCACTTACCTTAATACAACAAGCCTTGATGATTATATAACGATTATACTATGGTCTAAGGTGAGATTACATTGAACAAAGTGTTATACTTGTATTTTCTTTTTTTTTTTTTTTTTTTTTTTTGACAGAGTCTCGCTCTGTTGCCCGGGCTAGAGTGCCGTGGCATCAGCCTAGCTCACAGCAACCTCAAACTCCTGGGCTCAAGCGATCCTCCTGCCTCAGCCTCCCGAGTAGTTGGGACTACAGGCATGCACCACCATGCCTGGCTAATTTTTTTTTCCATATATTTTTAGTTATCTAGCTAATTTCTTTCTATTTTTAGTAGAGATGGGGTCTCGCTCTTGCTCAGGCTGGTCTCGAACTCCTGACCTCAAGCGATCCTCCCGCCTCGCAGAGTGCTAGGATTACAGGCGTGCACCACCGTGCCTGGCATACATTTTTTTAAATGAAAGTTTGGAAAATGTTTTAAGTAATTCTTCTTTGTCCTTGACACATGGCTCGATATGAAAATTTAGAATGACTTACGACTTATCTTGCTTGTGGGACAGGGAAAAGAGGTCATAAACCAAGCACACTCCAAACACCGTGATGCCCGTCTCCTTCACCAGCATCGCACACGTCCCCAGAAACAAACTGAGCAGCAGGAAGAAGGGAGAAGCCGTGGGAGGGAAACATTCCCCAGCACAGCCCTGGTCCAGACTCCTGGAAAACAAGCCAGAGGTTCTATTAATCTAAAAAGGCATGTGGGTCTCTGAGAAATACTACCTTTTAAAAAAAAAGAAATAATGTCAATTTCATTTGTATTCTCAATAATCAAGTAGGTGAGCAGATATTTCTTCAAGCGTGTTCATCATAGAGTTATTTAACATTGCTAAGATGAGAAAACGGAAATGCCCAACAATGCCAACTTTGGTACTTAACATTATGGTATGTACAAATTTTGATAAAATATGGCATGTAACTAATGAGCACTAAAATGCTATTTAAGAATCTATTCATACCACAGAGACATATTTAGTGATATGGGGAGATGGTTAGGTGGATATACTTTAAGTGAATAATACGAGTTATTAAACCACATGCTTGAGCTCTGGAGCCAAGTTCCATGGGTTCAAATTATAGCTTTCCAGTTAAGGAACAGGGTAATACGGGGAACATTACTTTGCATCTCTTGTGCAAAGTTCCCTTATGTGTGAAATGGGATGTTGTAGGAAGGATTGAGTAAGTGACTTATTACATATTAAATGCTTATCATCATCATCTTCTATACATAAAACAAAGAAGTCAGTGGGGATTTTATATATATATATAAATACACACACACACACCCCAAAATATAATCAGCCCTTTTCTCTCTGTGATGAAAATACAGACATTTCAATTCAGACATTTCTCTTTTCTTTTGGCTTATCTGTATTTTTAAATTTATTTTCCATGAGCACGTATTTGAAAAGTTTATTGTTTCTCAGTTTACTGTACAGCAAGGATTTTCAAAAATCCTCCAGTGCTGTAAAGTCTCGGTTTCACCTTACATCATAGAACTGGCCCCATATCAAGAAAAGTCACTGTTCCCTCCAGCAGGTGCCACACCCACTGGCACCTACTCTTTCGAAGTAAACACCAATATTTCTGCAGTTGTGATGTCTTCTCCTTAGTGTTACGTCTTAAAACAACTGCATATTATATGCAAATTATATGCAAAAATTTGCACTAGACAGGCATTGTCTATGAGTTGGTCTACAGCTTAAATTTCTTTTTTTTTTTTCCCTTTACCCAAGATCTTTATTTCTTTATTCAGCTTTTTTTTTTTTGGCATATTATGGGGGTACAGATTTTAAGGTTTCAATAAATGCCCTCTCCCCCCTTCCCCCACTACAGCTTAAATTTCTAACAGTGAGAATGGCATGCACAGCAAACCTGAAATAATACGGCTGATTATTACACAGATACAGGTATGCCGCAGGCCTGTTCGTGTTCCCAGATACATCGACCACACCGAAAAAGCCTGAGAGAACAAGTTTAAACTAAAGAGCAATTATTAATTCTGTTCTAACACCACAGTAAACAGGAAACGATTAATTGTTAAATTTCGGTTTATATTTTAACATTTCATAACACCATCTTATATGGCTAAGAATGCCCCGTAGGAGGTTACAAAGCCAGGACCAGAAGACTAAGAAAAGGTTTTGTTTATGCGAAACAAAATTTCATGAGACTTAATTCATTTCCTTCTTGACTCAAGGTCTAAATTGGTTTATAACAGGGTTTCTCAATCTCAGCACTATTAGCACTTTCCTGCCAGATAATTCTTAGTCGGAGGGGCTTTCCTATGCACTGTAGGATGTTTATGTACCAGCATCCTTGGCCTCTACCCACCAGATGCCAGTAACACCTCTTTAGTTGTAACAGTCAAAAATGTTTCCAGATAGTGCCAAATGTCTTGGGTGGGGATGGGAGGGGTGGCTAGGGGAGGGAGAAATATCACCCCTAATTAAGAACCGCTGGTGTAGTCAGGCATGGTGGTGCACGCTACTCAAGAGGCTGAAGCAGAAAGATCACTTGAGCCCAGGAGTTTGAGGCTGCAGTGAGCCATGACGGCGCCACTTTACTTCAGCCTGAGCAAGATCCTGTCTCTCAAAAAATAAAAAAGAACCACTGGTTTAGAATAGTGTTCCTCAAACAGAGTCACTGGGCTTTGTAAGATCCCAGGTCAATGAACTGATCCAAAGATCAGGGCTCACTAATCCTTAACCGGGCGTCTTTCTACCAAGCAAGGCAACATAGTCGACCTGCCCCTTTTTCCGGGCCACGCCCTGAGCCCGCTGCCTCCATTCATGTTCTCCTTCTAACCCACCCCTTTCCTCATGTGGACATGTCACAAGTCAGGTGAGGATCTGATCACTTCGGGGTAAAGAGGCAACATAATGGGAAATTATTTGACTGTTTTTTTTATTTTCAGTTTCCCAAAGCAAAGAATTTCTGTATCTTGATGAAAGTATGTGGAAACTGGCAAACTACAGTTGAGAAATACTACTTTCTATTCAGCCTTGTTATTTTAAGCTCTTAGCTACTTTGGTGAGGATGATAAAAAGGAAAAAAATTAGGACCAAAACAAAAAGGAGAAATCAAACAAATTATAGGCAAACAGAACAGAGCACCGCATCCAGTATATTTTGGCTCAGTGTGAAGATTCGAAATTCCATTTTCAGTTGGAAACTACAAGTAACAGGAAGCAAGAAGCAAGAAGCAAGAGTTTGGGCTCCCAGCACTGAGAAAGCAGTCTCTTCAAAATGCCCAGAATGGGCCTGGCACAGTGGCTCACGCCTGTAATCCTAGCCCTCTGGGAGGCTGGCAGGGAGTAATCATTTGCGCTCAGGAATTCGAGACTAGCCTGAGCAAGAGCCAGACCCCATCTCTACTAAAAAAAAAAAAGATAGAAAGAAATTAGCTGGACAACTAAAAATATATAGAAAAAATTAGCTGGGCATGGTGGCACATGCCTGTAGTCCCAAGCTACTCAGGAGGCTGAGGCAGGAGGATCACTTGAGCCCAGGAGTTTGAGGTTGCTGTGAGCTAGGCTGACGCCACAGCACTCTAGCCCAGGCAACAGAGTAAGACTCTGTTTCAAAAAAAATAAATAAATAAATAAAATGCTCAGAATGGGCAGGTGAGAAAACAGCCCAGCACTGGATAAGGAAAAGGGTTTCCTCGCCATGGTCCCCAGAAAGCTCACTAATAGGCATCATCACAGACAGAAGCCCTCTCCTCTCTCAAGCACATGCTCAGTGTGCACACTTGGCATGGCTGTGAGCACAGAGAAGGGCACTCTTAGCCACACATACCTATTGTAGGAGAGAAAGGCCAAAAGAAACAGCAGACACGCTAACACGTCAGCTCTGCCGACAATCCCAGCCACCTAGGAAGTGTAAAAAAAAATAAAAAGTAAAAACCTCAGAACATTACTTTCAAAAAACCATTACAGAAATTCATTACAGAGATGTATTTATTTTCAGATGAACAAAAGATATAATAAAACAGAAAGCACATTGTTTTTGAAATTCTGATATAGGGACTAACCACCTCTGATTATCATATATAATATTTAACAATTAAGTTTATAGAAAGGAAAAAAGAGGAAGGAAAAAGCAAGATTTTCATGCTTAACTTTATTTTTAACATCTCCCCTCCAGCGGGTCAATTCATGGTATCAAAATTTATTCATTTATTGATTTATTCAAAATACATTTTTTGAGTAATAATTGGGTACCAGATACTGTGCTATACTTTGGGCACCAGAGTGCTAACGGAGGAGAGGCTATTTACAGAGTCCTAGAAAAAAATAAGCAGAGGAATCAATATTTTTGGCCAGAAAGGGAATGAGTTTCAACTCATGGTTGCTATACACGAGTGTATGTGCATGCAAGTGTGTGTGTATGTGCACGTGTGTACATTTCTTTTACAACTCTATCCCTGACAGTGGCAAAGAGCCATCATGGCACTGACCACAAGTCATTCCCCCACTAAAGAGAACACCAGCTCCTGGGAGAACTGTCTGATAGCAGTGCTGAGGCTGGGGAGATACAAGAGGAGCTTGGATCATCTTCTCACATCAGAAAGTAAGAAAGTGCTCAAAATATGACAGTCAAAAGGACCCAGAAGGCAGTGACAAGGGGCTCCCACTGACCCAATCTGTTACAATCTGAATATCAAAATAAATAAGAATTGTAACATATTACAAACCATTAAATTATAGAAATCCATGGGGCCACACTGATAATAAATACAGTCATGTGCAGCATGGTAACATTTAAGTCAACAACGGATCACATATATGACAGTGGTCCCATTAGATTATAATACCATATTTTTACTGTAACTTTTCTGTGTTTGATATGTTTAGATATACAAATACCAGTGTTATAATTGCCTGCAGTTGTCAACGTAGTAACATGCTCTACAGGGTTGCAGAGTTGGACCAACAGGCTCTACCAGGTAGCCTTGGTGTGTAGCAGGCTATACCATCTAGTTTTGTGTAAGTTACTCTAAGATGTTCGCACAATGATGCAATCACCATTTCTCAGAATGTGTCCCCATCATTAAGTGATGCATGATGGTATGCAGATGAATGAATGGATACGTATGTAGATGCATACATACATATGGCAAACAAGAGAATGGGAAAGAAAGGAGAGCTCTTCCTTGCACATTCATGTGTGCAAGCTAAAAAAAGGTTGATCTCATAGAAGTAAAAAGTAAAAGAGAGGATACTAGAAGCTGGGAAGGGCAGGGTGAAAGGGAAATAAGGAGAGATTTGTTAAAGGATACACAATTACTGCTAGATAGAAGAAAGCTCTACTGTTTTATAGCACTGTAGAATGACTATAGCTAGCAATAATATATTATATAGTTTCAAATACCTATATATAGAAATGACAAATGTTTGAGATGATGGATACATTAATGACTCTGATCTGATCACTATATATGTATGGAAACATCACTATGTACACCATGAATATGTAACAATTAATGTGTGGCAATTAAAAATAAAACATTAAAAAATGTTATAATCATAAAAAAGCCAGTTAATGAATGTGAAGGGAGTAGTAGAATTGGAAAATAACCATTTTGCTTCTAGAACAGTGGAGACTGGAATGAGTAAGAAATATTGAAAATATCGATGGATGCCAAATCTAGTGCATGAAAGTTTTCAAGGTTCAAAGTATTGGCATGGCTTCAAAGTGTCTCTTCACCAATTATTTATTAGCTGGAAAAAATGAAAAGAATAATTACACTATGGGAAAAATGCATTACACTGCATTTCACCTTGATTGCGAATCAAAAATAAAATCACTATTCCTGAGAAGGACATATCGTTTATTCAGTATTCTTGCCAACAACACACAACCTGAATATAACTATGAGAAAACATAAACATTCTATAAAAATACATAAATATATATATCATACTAATAAATTATAATTTTATATAAATTTTATAACATTAAAATTTTATCACATTAATTTACTGATTTATATCATATTATGATTCTTAATCATAACTCATTATAATCTATCATATTATATAAATTATCATATACCATAGGTGCATTATATTATATATGTATATATTATGCATTATATATTATATTTATTTTATTTATTATGTATTCTGTTCTTATATACAGTATATTATATATCATATATTTATATCATTTTATTTATACACAATTTTTATATACTATACCTATCAACTATATATATTTTATAAATTGTACAACATATAAAATGTATTATATACATATATGATCATTATATAACATTATATATTACAATATAATACATGCATTAATAAAATGTTACATGCATTCTCATATAAATTAAAATCTATAAATTATATTATAGAAAGACAATACTGATAACTGTTTCAAACTAAAGGAAACCAAAGGATACTAAAAACAAATTAGTTTTAGAAAATATACAACTAAATTAATAAGGTGTAAAGGGGCATAAATTATACAACATACTGTCAAATGCTTCAGAAAATAAATAATTTCATATATTGAGGAGGAGAGGAAGAATGATAAAATCAAAGTGGCAAAATGTTAAAAATTAGTAAATCTAGAGGAGGAGTATGGAGTCATTCTCTATATTTTATAAGTTTGAAATTATTTCAAAAAATGTGTTATTTCAGGAAAGAGCTGAAATGCAAGAGGGGTGGGAGACAGGTGACACTATAAATCTTTGTATTATTTTGCTACATAAGATGTGTGTGCATTTCTCCTAATTTTTTAAAACACGAGTAATAAAATTAACAAAGAAAAAATGGGCTACAGTTAAAAAAAAAAATGCTTCCCAAAAAAGGTCCTATCAGAGCTGGCTGAGGAGGAGCAGCTGACAAGGGAAAGGAGGAGGGCTGACACTTCAGGCACAGAGGCAGCACCACACAAGTCACAGAGGACCTGAGGTCCACGGCGTGTTGGAGAATCGATCCACAATTCATAGCAGGAAATAATTTTCTAGAACATATGACAAGTGTTACTTGTGGACGGGTCACTTGCGAAGCTCAGATCTGCTCAGTCTGCACCACCGCCTCCTTGGGTACTCAGCTCAGCATCACGTGCAAAGCTTGATGAAGGTTAAACACAGCCCAGCTCGCCAGCAACAAAGTCTTGGGATAAGGCCAAGCGTCTGGGCCCAGAGGGGCTCTCATCACAGCACAACCGATGTGGTCAACAGCAAGACCTACAAGCTGTTATTGGGTTGGAAGGAGGCAATCACAAGCTAGGCGAGCTTAACTAATGTGTTAAAGGCGTCCTGCAGCCCTGCTTCTCACACTGCAGCCAGTTTGGAAGCAGCAGCAGCGGAGTGTGCCAGTTGGACCTGCCCAGCTATAAAGAATGTAGTGTCCTTTAGAGGAGAAGCTCAGGGAGGGTGTTGAAATGTTGGTGCTAGCGCTGACCGGCTCTCTCTTGCCAGTCCAAACCACTAAGCATGCTGAACACTTACTCTATACCCCTGTTGAGCTGGGGTCTTTGGGGCAAAAGGTTAGATATCAAAAAACAGGTGCTTGTCATCAACTACCATATGTCTAGACCAGCCATTCACTGTGATTCAATTAGTCAAAATCATCATGTTCAGTAATTGTGTATCTGATTCCAGTTAACAAACATTTTCCAAGTGCCTCTTCTTTGCCAGGTACTGTGCCAGCTGGATTGTTACAATCAGCCTCAAGGAGTTTAGCACTGACTCATGGGGAGTCAGAAGAGGGTATTCAGTAAGATACAGGGAAACCACGTGCATCGTAAGAGGAGAAACCACTACCAAGAGAAAACTGAAGAGATAAATTTCGACTGGAGGGTCTGGAAAGGCTTCTTGGACTTACAGGATAGACAAGGAGGATTTTAGGAAGCTCAAGACAAGAGAATGTGAAGCCTAGGCCCCTAAGAGAACAAAAATGAATTCCAGGTAAAGGAGTGTTTCTGGAAGGGGAGGCATAAAGTGTTGAAGAACATTCAGTTAACGAAAAGAAGTGGACAGGGATAATGGGAAGCAAAGACAGAATGTTAAGTGGGAGCCAGTTGACTTGACTCTATTGTAGGGTGCTGGAAAGTACAAACCCATTTTGTCAATTTATGGGAGTGAGAAATGCATGCAAAAACAATGCAAAATACATGCAAAAACCTCAAGCTGCAGGTTTCCATCACCAATGGTGGGGAGGGGTGGGGCGTGTAACCTGGGAACTGTAGCCTCTAATACACATTCAAACACTGGGAAAACATCAGTGAACATAACTGTATAAAATTTATCCAGATCTCCTAGCAAGGTTAACAGAATCACATGTTGAAATTGCCAGTCAGGTCTTAATTTGCCCTCAAAATCTGTTATTTTTTGGAATACCACTCACAGAATTTGCATGAAGAATACTATTTGTATAAGGTTTTTAATACTTATTTTATCTGCAAGAATGAGTTCCATTAGTGTCAGACAGGACCAGGAATGAACACTTAACACATGGCAACAGCTACAAGCCAGACTGACTGATCAGATCAGGCGTCCTCAAACTACGGCCCGCAGGCTGCCTGTCCTGCTTAGCAGCCAACTCGTCCTGAGCCCACAGTGCACACTCTTCAACAGTCTGAGGGACAGTGAACTGGCCCCCTGTTTAAAAAGTTTGAGGGCCCCTGGATTAGATAATGACCAATTTTCTCCTGTATCTTCCTGTTCCAATTCTGGAAATGATGACCTTAGCCTTCAACTCCCTGTGTCAGTGTTTCCTGCTCTTGCTTTCAACTCGATGTAAGTGCATTCCTTCTAACCTGTAACATCTCTATGATGCTCAAGTTTAATTCTCATTAAAGAATTACAATAACTTCCCACATTTCCCAACTTCTTTGCTGATTTTTTTCCTCATAATTCAGCAAAACATAAATTTCCCAAGAAATATACTGTCAGGAAACCCTTCCAATAATCTCTAGGGCTTACATGAGGAGAGTCTGGGTCTGCCTTATTTACTGCTATCCCCTGGCACTGACTATATGACAGTCACCGTATTACAGCTACTCAAATATTTATTGAAAGATTGAGTAAATAAATGAATTCGTCCCAATTTCCTTGAATTGGAAATAATTTTGCTCTCTGCTACAGTTTCTGTTTTACTACAACATATTGCTTTGTCTTATATCTATTTATGTGTATGTTCTTTACCTCTTTGATGAGCTTGTGAACAAATTGTGAGTAGGGACCCTGTCATTCACCCACACATTCTCCTGGCACCAAGCAACATGTGTGGGTGCTGCATCCCTGACTTCAACTAACCAAGGATAAAAAATACTGAAAAGATAAATAAATAAATAACAACAATATAATAAAAAAAATGCAAATAAAAATTACAGTATAACAACTACTTCCACAGTATTTACATTGTATTAGGTATTATAAGTAATCTAGAGATGATTTCAAGTACAGGAGAATATGTGTAGGTTATATGTAAATACTACGCCATTTTATATAAGGGACTTGGGCATCCTAGGATTTTGGTATCCTCAGAGGTCCTAGAACTAATCCCTTAGGGACACCAAGGGATGACTGTATTCATTAACTATTTGCTGATTGCATAATTAATTAAGCAAATCCTTAATCATATCAACATTTTTAAACCCCGCCCCCCAGATTTAAATCTTCCATTGCTCTTGAGATAATTTATGGTCCCATTTTTGTTCTTCTTTAACAATACTTCCCAGTAATTCCCTCTACCACAACACCAAGGTCTTTTTTTAAAAAAATAATTTACTGCTACATCTTTTGGAAAGTACATCTCTTCTTCCATTTCTCTGTCCTCCTCCTTAGAAACTTGAATTGAAATCTGTAACTAAATAACTGTCTCTCCTTTGCACTTCAAAATATAAATTGCTTTGTAGGTCAAATTTCTTTGCCTCCCTCTTACCCCTTACCTCCTCTTCTTGTGACTGTAAATACCTTCCCTAATATCCTCCCCTAAATAAATGTCCAGCTCTCAGATTCCTTTGCCCCTTTAACAGTGTTTCTATACATTTATTTCAATTAGTACAAAACCTTGTTGAAACCCTTTCTTAAAGATTACTTTGTAAATAGGATTTTTCTCTTTTCTTAGAATCCAACCTAAACTCTACCAGCTCATGATCACACTGCCTAAGGTTACCTGTGTTTTATGTACTCCTTCTCTGCAATAAAAACTGTTACTGCCCTACTTATTTGTTCTTTGCTGTGATAATTGACCCCAAGACACTCTAGGAACAGTTTTTCAGCAGTACTTAAAGAAGTATTTGTTGGAAATATAATATTGGCTATTGTCTTAGACTGAAACATACCACTGGCCCAGCATCACTTATTCTACACAGCTAGCAGAATTTGTCCCTGGTTGTTTTTCTTCATGCTATGTCCAAAAATAACATGAAAAACTTAAGTATTTCTCTCATCTTTTTAAGTTCATATCCAAAGTTTTTCATCATAATTTTAAATACTTGAAAGGATCTAACTTCCGATGCATTATAAATACTGGCATTTTAAATAAGATCATAATGTTACTGTTTCAAATGTACCAAATGGAATCAGAACACTACAGTCACTTGAAGCTCACCACCTTCAACTTACATGAACACAAATAATGTAACAATTTACACTACAAAGTGAAGTCAAGAGACTATTACTTAGTTATAGATTTCAATTCAAGCATCTAAGGAGGACAGAGAAATGGAGGAAGAGATATACTTTCTAGACGATGCAGTGATAAATACCTTGATGTGGTGGGAGAGGTAATTACTGGAAAGTATCTCCCTTTTGTTAAAGAAGAACAAAAATAGGACCATAAATTATCTTCTTTAAATGGTAGACATTTTATATCCTTTCTCCTTAAATTCATACTTCCATTTTATTTCCCTCTCAGCATTTTTTCTTAATGTATTACATAGTTATGCTTAAAAATATTTTATCGTCCATCTCCATGTAATAAAAATATATGTGTAGTTAAACTTATTGTGACCATAAGTCTCTAAGTGTTAAATTGTTAATTTTGTATTACTATTCCAATTACTAATTCACAATTGTTCAATACATGACACATAAAATAGAAAAAATGATAATTATTAATTATAAAATTTACCTCTTAAAAATGTAGGTATAGCACGTTTCTTTTCAGTAAGTTCAGTTATCTGTGGCTGAATCTTATCTTTTGTTAGAATAAGACACCATGCAGTATTAGTTCTATTCCTAGCTTCCATGTTTACAGGCTGTTCACATAAATAAGAATGAAGTAGACCTATTAGAGCAATGGCTTCATTCTTTGAACTCCAAAGTTATTGACAAATATTACATAATTAATTTATCCTCTTACATAATTTTTAATGATTTACCAGTTGACAACTCAACCAGTTGACAACAAAGCCCTCCTTTAATTTGGCCAAAAGTAAAAAATTTAAACCACCCATCATAAGAGTTATGTCATTAGAGTCATAAACTTCCAAAGTTCCTCAGAAGTACAGCAAAAAGGCTTTCCCAAGCCTTATCAAAGGGCTATTCCTTATACCCCATATTCTCCTACTTAGAGGCACCTTGTTTAGTCCACAATACTCAGAAAGGGTTGGGAAAATTACCTTTAATAATGTAATATTTTTATAAAGAATCTTTTTTCTTTATCACTCAATCTAAACATGTTTGTCAAAACTCGGGCGTATAGATTTAGAATTTTGTTTGTGGAAAATGTCCATCATATAGCCTAACTGGCAAACCAGTCCTCATCATCAAACCAATTAGTCAAATCAGACTTCTCATGTCGGTTCAAATAAACATATTATTATGCATCCCCGTAACAACTATTTCCCTTCTGAATTTAGAACAGCAACACAGGCCACCAAACCTTGGTTCTAACACCATGTTGTATTCTTCACAGAAATATGTACAAGACAGGGAAAGACACGAAGTCCTACTTTGGGTTTACAATGCCTTAAATGAAGGACACCTTGTTGACACCAACATATCAAATTGTTCCTTTGTAAAGTGCCTCCGAGGGTCACCCATGTGGGGCATGGTAAGATTCTGATGCACGGGAGGTATGTGTTATTTTCATCAAAGTGAGAGAAAAGCAACTGAGAAAGGGAAAAGGGAAAAGAGATGCAAGGTGACATCGTTACTGCAGGTGTGTTCTCAGGCAGGTCAACTTCAGGAAAGTACGCAGAGAGATGCAAGCAAGCTAGAGCTCTGGAAAAGATTCTTTTAAAACTGTGGTGCCCACATATCCCTTTCAAAAGTCTTCTTCTACCCCAAGCAATGCACATTAAATAAACCAGCTATGCTTACAGAGATGTGAAACAAGTTAGCTTAATAACGCCATCTCACTCACTGCATGATTAAGTAAACATTTTAAAAAGGGTCATATAGCCATACTACCATACTTTCTAAATAACTTTCTCATCACCCACAAAATAACTACACTTTTTATTAAATAACTCAGGAAACAAGTAAGGCTCCTAAGTCTGTCTTTCTGACTTGAAGAATGTCAGTCTAACTTTTTATAGTCCTCTCCCAGCACTTACAGTTCTGTATTATAAACATTATAAGTACTAAGCAGAGTAAGAAAAGGTAAAATATAAATGTAGGGCAGGAACAATGACTCAGCATGCCAAGTGTCTCAAAATGTTCTTTGCTGTTGCAAACACATTAGGACTTAAATTTTTCACAAATAACAAACTGTGGCCATTCATTACTACCTGTAATAATAACAGCAGTTATTTAGAAAAGTGGTTAAATTCCAGGAGGTACAATAAAGCCAATCTGAACATTCAAAAAGAAAAGCTGTCAAGTAGAATGGTTTATATATAAACAATGGAGTAGGGCTTTGAATTCACGTGGTTTTAAAAGGGGGAAAAGATCGGTTTAGTTTATATATACATACACATATATATAGGTTTGTTATTTCATTGGGGTCCAATTATACTCACCGCCTCAGTGTGAATAGGATGCACAGCAAAAAGCAACGCCGTAACAAAAGCAAGTCCACGATTCTTGAAGACAGTTTTATCACAGGTGTACATCAGAACAAGAGTCACTAAGCAGTGTAAAATTACATTTACTGCATGAAAGTAGAATGGGTTCATGCCGGTCAAAAATATGTTCAGCCTATAAAAAAAAAAAAAAGAAAGAAAGAAAAACCTGCATTAGCTGCAAACATAACATAAGCACAAGAAAAGCAGAGGGAATCTATCATCGTATAAAAGGATAAACTATCCAATTAATTATTACTGAATGATTCCCAACATCGGGTTATTTTTTATATTTGAGTACGTGTCACTTTTTTCCTATCTCAGAATTGTCTGATCTGCGGACATCAATGCATGCACAGTACAATAGTATTTCAGAAAACTTTGGTCTCTCCAAAAAGTCAGGCAAACAGGTACTAAACCTGTTTTTCCCTCACTCCATGGCTAATGCAACCCCCCCCCAACAATATTCCTGCTTTCACTGTCAGCTCTTCCTAAGCAGCTGAGAGTTCAAAGGCAAGTCAGAAGTGCTGTGAGTCAGAGCCGCGGCAACCAGAGATAAACAGAAACCATGAGACTGAGATTGAAGTCACAGTTGGGACAAATCAGGCATGAACGTGTTCTCTCACCCACGGTGCCACCAGAAACCAAGTTTCCAGATTATGCATCTGGGAGCATCATCTAATTACCATCTCCCAGGGGGATCTTCAGGGCACCTACAAGGTATTACTAGCTGCAGCTGAAATGAAAACATGAGCAAAAGCATAATGTTTCAGAATTTGTATTAAATACTTTGTAACATAAATGCCCACAAATCTCAGAAGCTGATTTCTAAGACTATGACAAAGAAACTAAAAGAACCACAAAGAGAAAGGAAATCAATTGTTCAACATCTTACAAAATGCTTTCATGAGACAGAAACACAGAACAGAGAAACTTCTAGATGATGCCTTAAATTTAATAACAGGACATTATATCCCCAACTGAGTATGCAGGGCTATAAAAAAATGCACTTGTGCAGGGTATGGTTCTTTTGGGGAGCATATGTGCCCTAAGTGGTATTGCCTATAGTTGTCTACACTCCAGTGCATTTTATCAAAACAGTAATCAGAGGTCTTTACTCTCATGCCCTTGGTCTGCTTCTCTTATAGAAACACTCCTTTTTGCCACTGAGAAAGGAAAAGTCAACTTGAGAGACAACAAATGCATACCCTAAATAATTGACGCAATCCAAGCACAGCTTTAACCCACAGAATTTTAAACATCTCAAGCATTTGGACGCATGAATCCAAATGTCATAGTTATTAAGAGACTCCATTTTCACTCCCACCAAAGTCATCACGACCCTAATAAGCCTAGAAGAATGAATTGTTATGTCGGATCCAACCCCGGGACTCCGATGCAAGATTTGACCCAGCTGTGTATTGGCAGACCCACAAGTCTGCGCACACCCCAGCATCCTCAATACAGGAGCCTGGGGGAAAATAACCCTTCCGGAAGGAAAGAGGAAGGGGCAATAAATGAGGGAACTGGCAGGTCCAACTAAAGCAGGGAGAAAAGCATCACATTCCAGTACAGGAGGACCCCCAGGTGGTAACAGAGCTGCTGGAAATCAAAAAGGCTGGGAAGGGAGAGTTATTAAGAAAGGCAAGACTTTGGTTGTGCAGAAGCTTTATAATTTAATCGAGTCCCATTTATTTATTTTTGTTGTTGCTGTAATTGCCATTGGGGTCTTCTTTGTAAATTCTTCACCTAGGCCAGTATCTAGAAGAGTTTTTTTCCAACATTTTCTTCTAGAATTCTTACGGTTTCATGCCTTACTTTTAAGTCCTTTATCCATCTTGAATGAATTTTTGTGAGTAGCGAGAGATATGGATCCCAACAACCTACAAAATGGGAGAAAATATTTGCAAGCTATACATCCGATAAAGGATTAATAACCAGAATCTATAAAGAACTCAAGCAAATCAGCAAGAAAAAAATCGAACAACCCTATTAAAAACTGGGCAAAAGACATGAACAGAAGCTTCTCAAAAGAAGATAGACAAATGGCCAATAAACATATGAACAAATACTCAATGTCACTAATCATCATGGAAATGCAAATTAAAACCACAATGAGATATCACCTTATCCCAATCGGAACAGTTTTTATTAAAAAGGCCAAACACAAGAGATGCGTGGATGCAGAGAGAAAGGGACACTTATACGCTGTTGGTGGGACTGCAAGTTAGTACAACCTCTACGGAAAACAGTATGGAGATTCCTCAAAGAACTAAAAGTAGACCTACCATTCGATCCGATAATCCCACTACTGGGTATTTACCCAAAGGAAAAGAAGTCATTTCATCCAAAGACACCTGCACACCAATGTTTATTGCAGCACAATTCACATTGCAAAGATGTGGAATCAGTCCAAGTGACCATCAATTTATGAACAGATTAACAAGATGTGGTATATATATACCATGGAATACTACTCAGCCATGAAGAATGACTTAATGCTTTTTGCAACAATTTGGATGGAACTAGAGACCATTATCCTCCGTAGAATCTCCCAATAATGGAAAAAACACCACATGTACTCATTATTAACCAGGAACTAACCGATGAGCACATATGTGTATAGAGAGAAGTAAAACTCAATGGAAATCAAGCAGGGAGGAGGGGTTAAAACCTACCTAACAGGTACAGTGAACACTATCTGGGTGATGGGCACACTTTTAACTTTGAGTCAAGCATTATAAAAGTGATCCATGCAACAAAAACATTTAAACCCCAGTTACACTTTGAAAAAAAAATTTTTTAAAAAAAAGGCAAGACCAAGTCCCAGTCCTCAGAGAACTTGGATGCAGCTAAGAGCCCATAGCCCTGAGGCTAATTTTAAACATTTTCCACTTCATCAAGCTGAGCTTTCCAAACCAAGTAACAAGCCATTCATTTAAAATTCACTCACAGCAGTGATGATGAGGAAAGAGAACAGGTAATCTCACATCCGACTGGTGGATGCCCAAGGTGGAAGGAAGGTCTCTAGGTTGGTAATATGCATCAAAGACTTTAAAAGGCATGTACCTTTTGACCAAAAATTCCACTTCCAGGAATCTTCCATAAGGAAATAACCAGAAAAGCATTCAAAGATGATGCGTGTATGAATGCATTTCATGGTGTTAATTATAAAAATGGCAATAGAAAGGCAAATGGCAATAGAAAGGCAAGACATCCAATAAGCCAAAATCATTGACATGTTTGACCATTTCCACAGATGCTGACATTTGGGTCATAAATTTGGATACTCTCACAATTTTTAAAAAAGAGAGCAAAATATTGTTTTTCCAAAGTGTTTGCTACTCAACCATTTGAAAATGAAAAAGCATCATTAAGGATGGTGTTATTACCATCTGACCCTACTTTTATGAGGTACTTAACACACATTCTTTTCCCCTTCCAAAAATGGTACAAAATGGTAGGCATGAGTCACCTTTGTGGTCCATATGCATCGTACCTAGAAAACGTGCAGGTGTTATCCATGTAGATTATTATTTCAGAAATCCGTTAGGACCAAATGCCTGGTATTTTACATGAATTCAATTAGATCCCAAAATATAAAAATAAATTGATGAATGAGAAACTCCTGCAGTAACAAGGTAATGGTGTTAAAACTTCTCACCTGCTACCTAAGATTGGCGACTGTAAGCTTTCAGAAATTACCCAGAATCTGGAGTTAGGAGAAGTTTACAAACATTTAAAAAGATGGAGAGTGAGTGCTCCAAACTATAGACAAGTGAGCTTGAGACGAAATGCTAATAAAATTTTTGAACATATCCTATATGTGAGCACAGAGAAAATAATCTCTGACTCTGAGAGCCAATGTGAGTTCACAAAAAGTGGGTTAACTGACTAACCTCATAATTTAATAGAAGAAGGCATGTGATGGATGTATCACATCTTTAACAAAGGAATTTATCAAAATCTCTCACAATCTCCCTGCCTACAAGATAGCCTAAGATGGATTTGTAGCAAACACAAAGAGTAGTGAATAATAAATCAATGTCTCCTTGAACTGAGACACCTCCAGTGTATGTCACTGGGTTCTGATATTACCTCTCTTCTGGCCTACATTTTTTATCAAAGACTTAAATGAAACTATAGAGTATATGCTTATCAAGATTGCAAAATGCTGTATCTGGAAAGCAAAGCTAATACACTGTAAGACTATGATTCACCAACAGTTCTAATGGCTGAATCGTTAGCTAATTCTAATTGGATTAGATAGAATAGGATTAAGAGTCAAGACCCACATTGGGATATAAAAAAAGAACAAAACACTTGCAATCTGGATTAAAACTGTACATGTGTATTGGCCAGGGGCTTTTACTTGCCCTCAACCCAAAGAGTTAATGTGTCCTGGCTACCAAAACAGACCACCAACAAACTGACAGACAGGGAATTGTACAAGCCAAACTATTTTTCATTTCAATTTACTCGAACAGGTATTCACTGGGCACCTCCTACTATGTGTCAGGTATGATTCAGGGCCCAGAGATAAAATGAAAAGTAAGATATGGCATTTGTTTCCAAACAGTTAACAGCACAGCGGGAACAGGTGAAGCAATTAAACAGATAAGTGATAGTGAAAGAGTTCTGGCAATGGAAGAAACTAACCAGGTGCAGAGATGGTGAAGAAGGAGGCATTTTATCTGTGGGTGGGAGAGGCGGGGTGAATGCATCCAATGTGGGGCAGTAGACCCCCAGAGCGGTTCTTAAACATACAGCACCTTCCCAGGAGAGCTCCAGGGTGCTAATGGGGGAGAGGGAGGCGCTCTGAAAAGAAGTCTGACGGCCTGGACATGGTGGCTCACGCCTGTAATCCTAGCTCTCTGGGAGGCTGAGGTGGGAGGATTGCTCAAGGTCAGGAGTTCAAAACCAGCCTGAGGAAGAGTGAGACCCTCATCTCTACTAAAAATAGAAAGAAATTAATTGGCCAACTAAAAACATATAGAAAAAATTAGCCTGGCATGGTGGTGCATGCCTGTAGTCCCAGCTACTCAGGAGGCTGAGGCAGTAGGATTGCTTCAGCCCAGGAGTTTGAGGTTGCTGTGAGCGAGGCTGATGCCATGGAACTCTAGCCTGGGCAATAGA